ATTGAATCACTCACTAATCGCAACTCTCTACTAAAACACACTATTTTTAAACATGAGTATTACATGCATTAACATTACTCAACCTGTTTTCGGTCTAGGATAAAAATTGAAGTGAAAGTAATGAAGAATATATAAAAATATGGTAAAAATATTAAATTAATTTGTAGTATTCGTTTGAAAGGATAAATAAGAGGAAAAAAATTATTTTCGTGAATGTACCTAGAAAGTATTTCATCCCTCGCCTCCTAAAATTGGCACAAAATGGAGAGAAATAATTTATTTCTTTTCATTTTTTTAATATTTTGTAATAATAATAATAATAATAATAATAATAATAATAATAATAAAATGTTACGTTTAAATAAATAATTAATTGAAAATTTATATTTTATTTGGGTATAAAAATATTTTTATATAATTTATTTTTTTCCTCTCTTTTTCACTCATTCAAATAAGCATATATTTTTTTTTACTTTTTTCTTTTAATTTCTATTAATCAAAATAATACGTTTTTCTACTTTATATGTATCATTTTTCTTCTTCTTATTATTAGATGATTTTCATGCATTCTAAAAGATGATCAAGTGAAAAACAGCATTAAATATTTAAATGGATCAATTGCATACATTTACTATAAATTAATATATGATATAATTAACTAGTATTATATATTTGTTTTTCATTTTTAAAATTTTTTTTTAGTATCGAAGTCTCTTCATTTTTTGAAACTTTTTTCCGCTTAATTTTACACCGAGTACTTTAAAGTATTTCTTAATACATGTATAGTGATTTTTAAGTAAAATTTCTTTAGATAATGTATTTTAAAATTTGATTAACTATTTTTTTTTTACAAGATAAGTGTTAAGCATCTTTCATATAACATTTTTCAAAAACATATACATATTAAAGTATAAGAATTAAAATTATAATTAAGCTTTATAATTATAAATGTCATTATTCTCCATTACATTTACAGTACTAATTATACGAAAACAATTTTATCAATTATAAAAATTAAGATTAGAAGAAAAAAAGTTTAAGTAAAAAAAATAAAGAAAAACTAAAAGTATAATAATTAAATTTTGTTGCAGGGTAGGACTTTTGCTTCCTGGACGGGCAATAATGCTTACGAATGACGATGATGCAAATCCCATTGGGCGAAGATACCAGGAAACCATGCATCGTTCATCCACTCTATTTCTAGGACAAGTTACGGATTGAAAGCGTCATTCCGGTTACAGACAAATACATAAGATGGTTCAGAGCCCATTGCTTAGTTGACTTTTAAACAAGTGTAAACTTCAACGTCAAACCATAAAATGAAGCTTCTTTATTTTGCAACCAAAAATAAATAAAGTCCACACTTTCAACAAAAAAATATTGACGGAAAATAAGGGCCATGTATTGTTTGGAGAACAAAAATCATCATTTCACATCCATTGAATTTGAACTGTTGATACTCTTAAGTCTTAAGCGGAAAGAAGAAAAGTACTAAAAATAAATAAAATAAATAAAGGGACAATTGTGATAGAGAATGTGATTAAAAAAAGAAAGAAAAATATATTTGTACAAAAATATTAATGTTAGTTATTTTGGATATTCTATAATTAGTCGATATGATAAATCTCCAACCAATTTAAGTAGTTTGTTTTTTCCCATAAAAAATTATTTGTGTCTATAAAAATGCATTTTCTAATGGCTAAAAACTGTAACTTTTTTTAGATGTAGTTTGCCCTTAAAGAACTTTTTTTTTTCTCTTTTAAATATAAGGAAGGCCTAAAGCCCCAAACATATAATTATTTTTTTTTTGTTAAAATTAATAATTTGTGTATATGTATAATTGATAATTTTAAGTGATGACTAAATAATTAAATATATTTAGTTATGTAGCCATAACATAAAGTTATATATATTAAAATGATTATTGTTTTTCATATTTCAACTTATTTCTAACAAATCACTATCTTGTAAATTGGGATAATGAATTTTCATTTTAAATAATTGTTTAAATGAAATAAAATCATATAAATAGGGTTCATTTTGGAATTTCAATAATTATATAACATTTTATAAGAGTGAAGTGAAAGAGACAATCTTGAAATTTTCTTTTATGACAATCCAATTACGTTTTTTTTTTTTTTTGGTTTGTCGAAGAAATTATGTATTTTTAATCATAACCAAAACAAGAGCAGTGAAAATGATAAGTTCATTAATATTTATTAAATTTAATAGTTCTCCATATTAAAATGATCAAGTTCACTCACAATTAGTATATCACTATTGCATGCGATATGATTAAGATGGGAACCTCTGCGCTTATAATTGAAAGTTCACATTTTTTTTTTATACTTTCTGAATTTGCAGATAACATTGTTACAATTACAACTTACGGTATATTTAATAAGTAAAACCATTTAATGGAATTTAAATCGTATCCAACAAACAAAATTCATTAAAAAAACATTATTTTCGATTCTGCGTTACCTTGAAAGGATATTATTTCACATGTTAATTTTTTTAAAATATCAACATAATAAATAATAATAATAATAATAAGGAATGTTTGAAGTATTGCGAAAAAAGTCAATTAATACGTACTAGATTATTTTAATTTGGTCGATAATCTTAAGTTTAAATACGAGTATACAATATAAGTCAAATATTGAAAATAAAAAATTGTTCCTTATAGTACCTTTAACTGACTAAAAAAAATTATCTCTTATAAAAAATATCTGTGATCTTTATAAAAGAAAAGGTGTTTGAAGTAAACAAGCAATTAAGATAAAAAATAGAATAAATTTTTTTTAAATGAATTAATTAAATCATATAGGAGTGTAGGTGGTGGGCCTATGTGAGAATATTAGGTGATAGCTATTGTTTTGGACAATAGAAAAGACCTAATCGGTATTTAAGTCTAAAACATTTAAAATATGTAATTTGTTTTCTTTTAAGGCCTAGGATTTTTGTTTGTAGCAATTTTATGATTTTTGTATTTTTTATTTTGAAATTTTGAAATTTTTGGAATTACATTATGAAATTCAACCTATATATTAATGATGTTGGTTTTCGTATTAAATCTCTCAACTCGAAATAATTGACAATTCTTAGTTTCAGACTACTAACTTAAACATTATACAATGAGTAAACCTTTTGGAATATTTCTAAGATAGAACACTTGTCTTCTAGCCTTAAGTATGAGGTGCATAAAAGTTGTAGTTCATTTTCTTTGTTGATTAGTAGAGACCTCTTAAAATAATCTCGAAATGGTTCGCTTGTCCCTAACCTTAATTCCTATTTTTTTTTTGTATGTGGTAGTCGGTTGCAAGCAAGTCTTACTCACATATTTTTTAGTTGATATTTTGTGCATGTTAGCCAATTGCAAGTCAATTATACTAACGACTTTTTGAGCTAAAAAAATTTTGAGTAGTAGAAAAAAAATTATTAGACAATCCTCGTGAATTTAAAATAGATGGTAAATTTGTTGGAGGTTGAATAGGTAATCAAAATGTATATTTATATTTGTTTTTATACTTTAACAAATATTCATAGATATATGTGAATCCTTACAAATATTCATAAAATTTGTAGGTATGTACTTACCATATATTTTGTTACGGGATGAACCTCCCAAAACAATACCAAATTGCTTTACAATCAATGTAAAAATGGACAGAATTTTCTTTCACTGCACCACTACACTAAGCACATGTTAAATATCGTAGACATACGAAAAAAATTTCACTAAATGAAATAAATGACGAGGAGTTAGTACATGTTAGCTTCATATTATTGCCATCCTACTAAAAGCTCACTAATTAAAACATATTTCTTTTAAAATTAAAGAATGTGTCAATTTTTTATAACCTCAAGGTGTTGGTCAAGGTCAAGTGGAGTAAGATAGAGTCTTGCTTTTAAGAAATTGCAAGTTCAAACTTTCACTAATATCCTTGAGGTGATGTAAATACAAGTTCTTCTCCGAATACTGAGTTTAAAGGTTTTCCTTGCCTTAGATTAAGATACCACTTTCACTTTCTAAATATGCTATTAAATTAATTAGTTTTCATTGCACTAGAATATCATTGTTGCCTATACCCCCAAAAACTTGTCATTATTGCATGCGATGATTAAGATGGGAACTTTTGCTCTTATAATTGAAAGTTCACAATTTTATTTTATTTTTTACCACTTACGGTATATTTAATTAGTAAAACCATTTAATAATGGAATTTTCCCCCCAAAAAGCCATTTCATGGAATTTACCCGAAAATTGTTTTTCAGGAAAGATAATTGAGATCTTTATGAAAAAAAAATGGTGAGCGAAGTAAATCATAATTATACAATAAAAAATTACTTGTCCCAATCTAAATTTTCTGTAACATAAAAATTATAATAAAAGTTTAACAATTTTATATTGAAATTGAAATTATTATTTATTAGTAGAAATAAATGATAAAATGAGAGAGAGAAAAAAGAATTATTGTATGTTATATATAATCTGAAGTTAGAATTGAAATGATGAATGTAATTGTAAATTAAAAAAAGAAAAGAATGTGAATATTATGAGTATGGTGTATGCGTGAGGGAATTGGGGGAGAAGTGAGAAGGAGAGGGCGTGTATAGGATTTGAAGAGGACAGATGTGCGTAGAGAGTAGATTTGTAGTTGTTGCGTGTTGCGAATGGGATTGGGATTGGGATTGGGATTGGGATTGAGATTGAGATTGGGGGTAAAATATAATAGTAAAATAATAGAGAAGAAGAGAAGGTACACCCGCCCTCTCTCTTTTTTCTTTGGACTCTGTACTGTACATGTGTGGTGTGATCCAACCATGTAGATGTAGATGTAGATGTAGATGTAGATGTAGGGTACACCCCAGTCTACGCACAACGCAACGTAATTGGTCCACGTTCCCCACGGGCCCTGGAGGCGCGTGGACCCCATGCCTTTTAAACCTGGATTCCCTCTTTCGATAGCTACCTCTCAATTCTCATTTTTCAATTCTCATTTCTCATTTCTCATTTCTCATTTCTCAACTCACTCTCCCCAAGTCCCTAGTCTATTTTAATTTTTCTTTTCCTCTCACAAATCACACTTCCTCGAACCTTCTCTGCTCTTGTATTCCCTATGATCTCTGTTTCCGTGAAAACCACGCATATATCGTGATGGAGATTATATGAGCTCCCTCTCATTATCGGTTTCATTATTTTAAATCATTTTTAATTAGAGAGAGAGAGAGAGGGGTATATATTCAATATCCAACCATTTTTAATTTTCGAGAGATGAGATGAGGCCGATGCAGCTCCCACCGCCAACCAGGGACCGTCCGCAGCGTCGCCGGAGGGACCTCACGCTCCCGCTGCCCAAGAGGGATACCAATTTGGCGGTGCCGCTGCCGCTGCCGCCGACGAACACGGGAGCCAACCAGAACAAGAACCAGAACCAGAACCAGAACCAGAACCAGAACCAGAACCAGAATCAGAATCAGAATCAGAACCAGAACCAGAAGCAGAACCAGAAGCAGCAGCAGCAGCAGCAGCAGCAGCTGGAGATCCCGTTCTCGGAGCTGGAGCGGCTGAACCGAATAGGGAGCGGGAGCGGGGGGACGGTGTACAAGGTGGTCCACAGGACGAGCGGGAGGGTGTACGCGCTGAAGGTGATATACGGGCACCACGAGGAGGCGGTGAGGAGGCAGATCCACAGGGAAATCCAGATCCTGAGGGACGTGGACGATCCGAACGTGGTGAAGTGCCACGAGATGTACGACCAGAACAGCGAAATCCAGGTGCTGCTGGAGTTCATGGACGGAGGGTCTCTGGAGGGGAAACACATCCCGCAGGAGCAGCAGCTGGCGGATCTGTCGAGGCAGATTCTCCGGGGGCTGGCCTACCTGCACCGGCGGTACATCGTGCACCGGGACATCAAGCCCTCCAACCTCCTGATAAACTCGAGGAAGCAGGTGAAGATCGCGGACTTCGGGGTGGGGAGGATTCTGAACCAGACGATGGATCCGTGCAACTCGTCGGTGGGGACGATCGCCTACATGAGCCCCGAGAGGATCAACACAGACATCAACGACGGGCAGTACGACGCGTACGCTGGGGACATATGGAGCTTTGGAGTTAGCATCCTCGAGTTCTACATGGGCAGGTTCCCCTTTGCTGTTGGGAGGCAGGGCGACTGGGCCAGCCTCATGTGCGCCATTTGTATGTCTCAGCCTCCCGAGGCCCCTCCCGAGGCTTCCATCCACTTCCGAGACTTCATCTCCCGCTGCCTCCAGCGCGACCCCTCCCGCCGCTGGTCC